ATCCCCGCGCTTACATACAGAAAGTCTATCTTAGACTTTAGATTATATTTAGAGTTGATATGGTTACTTGGTTCGGTACCACGCTCGGAAGCGCCGCATAGCGCTATCTCCCTTCTTAAATAGAGGGAAGTTCTTTTTACTTCGGGTACTACTTTTTCCCCCCATTTATCTCAGTATACTGCAAGTTGTATAGTGCACCTTAGTACTTGAAATCAGATTATACTTCTCCATCTGCTACAGCTCGCACCTCTACTATACTTGAAACCACATCCCTTATCACTCATAAGTGCGCTTCCGCATACGCGCGCGCCCCTCACATCTCGCGCGCCTTCGTGCACATTATCTTCTCGCGCCTACCAGCGCCCATCTAGTTGACAGAGTTTCCCTCCACCTTATTCGCAAGGAACTTCTCTCAGTAGCTATCCTTTGGGTCGAGTTGTATTCTCATATCCAGGTCTTGCTGTAGAGCCCCCTTCTTTAAGTGTTTTCACCCACAGTCAAGATTCCTCACCTTCAGCGGCTCTTCGCCTGGTGAAGTAAGTAAAGCAACTCGAGACAAGAAGCAATAGTATTCACCTCCGAAAAAACTACTTTCAATTTGGGAGTCAACTGAGCTTTTCAAGACCTTTGCACATTGAGGTGCTCGAGAGCTAAATGGATGACGAAACTCTACAAAGTAGATGTTAGCAGGCACCACAAAATCCAGCACAAGACACCTGCACAGAGACTACTGTTTAATCTAGTATAGGCGCTCAGATGATGAAAGTAGGAAAGGAAACCATGATACAAGCATCGCGTCTATTTGTAGTGAATCCCAATTTGGGAAGACCCACTGCCCGGTCCACAATCGACCAAATATGGTAGTGGTATTGTGTGACTAAGCAAACTTGAAACATCGAAGTACAAGACTTTAGGCGGTACAAGTAGGTAGTTACATGGAAAAACAGCTGTAGTACTAAGCATTGAAAGGGTTGGCACCAAATCGCGGAGGGAACCAGTTTTTTTGATGCAACCAACCCCTAGTATTCAACAAATGGGATGCGGGCATGTCAAAGTAACACATAAAGTGTCGAAAAGGCGCCTGATTGCAGAGCATGCATAAGGGCATTCACAAGCACGCAGATTATAGCAAACCGAACTAGTTGAACTGCGGTTGATGGGGATGGGGATGAAAGAGATGTTACATGCTCCTCTGGCATCTAATCCGAATCAGAAATCACCAACACTGAACAGAGCTCGCTTACCACATCACTCTCCCCCCATACTTTCATGCTACTATGCCCATTAAGGCAGGTGCCAGTGATAACAAGACACTTTGAGTGTCCTTCGTGAGACTAACTAATGTTAGTCTTATGTCATCAGCCGCTGGGCAACATGTCACTTACCACTACAGGTGTGATGCAATCGCCACGACTACCATGATCCAACTGTCCACGGTATGCACCTGTGGTGTAATCAAAAATTTGAGCAAACCCATCATCACCGCCCACGAACAGTAAGCCCGACTGTCGAGCAACAGAGATTTGCAAAGGAATATTGCGCAAAATCACATGGTTGAAGGACTGCACATGTGTGAGGTTGGGAATGGCATATTTGTCAACCCCGTCTTTGAGGTTGCTCACGAGCAAGTAATTGCCATCAAGAGCAGCATTGCCGCTGAAATGCGCCAGTTAATAAAAAGTCTAACAGTGTTAAATCAAAGCTGATGTACATTCTGCTTGAGACTTTTTGTGCCATTTGAGATCCCAAGGCTCTATCGAATAACAAAATCTGAGAACGCATCAGATGCAACAATCAGAATCTGAGGAACGTCGACTAACACATCACCACTTTCCAGGTATGACACCAATAATGAAGCACCCTTGTCATAAAAGTGGATGGTGCACGCAACATATACCTGCTTCTCGGGCTGAGAGACCATTGGTGTGAATGTCTCTTATAGATAAAATGTATTAGTAGACACACAACGCTACAATGGCTACGCACTGTCTGGTCTGAGGTTCCAAACTTGCGGGTGACCGTCGCCAGCACTCGCAAGTCTGCAATAATTGGGATCCCATGCAAGAGACTCAATCGCACCCAAATGGCCAATGGTAGCACTCCGGAATTCAAAAAGTGCCTAGCGTAATGACCATGAGTGTGAGCCAAACTCAATAAGCATATTATGCACTTACATCATATTCATACATTTGGATGTTGCCATTGGATGCTCCAAATGCGAACATAGTTTCTCCGCGATCATCGATGTCCGCCCAGATAATGGCACTAATATATCCTGCCGCTGGTGAATGTATTTCCTGGATCATTTCACCCGATGTGAGACTCCAAACAACAACACATCCATCATTACCTGTACACAATTTCAGCACAAGTATAGTAATGAAAATAACGAGTTACCTCCAGTAAGGAGCAATGATCCATGCTTGCTGACAGCCAATACATTGACCGCCTTAGTGTGACGATTCAGCGTGAAATTGTTGGCAAACTAGGTGGTGTCAACGAGCATAGCACCCTGATAGAATTCGATACATACCTCCATAGTCGAGGGATCTGATTATTGTCAGAGTGATTATCGGCATATAAGTATATTCGAATACACCATTAATCTAATGTTCAACAACAGGTCGAAACAATTGTTTGGACTTGCCATGGAGACAGCCAAGGCATCACCATGTATTTGAAATATGGCGAGATTGAAAACAATTGCGTAAAGCTCAATGACAATAAGTACAATGAATACAATTAAGCTGTGGTGAAGGAGCATGATCTACAAAACTACAAGAATGCACAATGAAATTCCAAGTAACGAAGTTGGGTCAGTTGCTACAGCATGGGATTCAAATCACCCTCTCACAACGATGACACCTTTAACACACGGTTCAAACCATATGCCAGAGCATCACCACGCGCCATCAGGCCATTGGCGGCGCGTGATATCGAAGACCTTGAATTGGGCATCGAATTATCCTTGAGATCTTATGACTTTGAGCTTGAGCGTCGTGACAATGTTGAGCCGAACAATTACCTATACATCGTGCTAACTGAAAGATATCAGGAGACACGAATGGGTTCAGCTATGGAGCTCGACCAACCCATCACTTTTAGTGGGACATATGGATGTCTGGACACCATTATGGCGGATGACGAGGTTAGCACGACTGCCAGTGATGGATCCACAACTTACGTGAGTGTCAGACCGGACCCCTCGCTGTTGTCCCGTCTGGAAGCCAGGCGCACATTCAGAGCGGGGAGAATCACTCTGCTAAAAGGGAGAGACTTGTCCGTGGCCTGCAGAAAACTGCGGATAAGTACTTGCTACGTCATTTTAAAGCAAATGACCTACACACCGAAGAGCTACATGAGCACATAAACATAGCACTCCGAGCCGCCATGCTGGGGGCCGATGTTGACAACATGGTGCCGTGCCCAAAGACCGCACATCACACTAAGTCCAAGGAGGGCGAGCCAGCAATAGTAAGGCAGAACAATGACCTAATAGTGAACTGTGCATCTGATACATCAGTAGATTCAGACGACAGACGAATATATCATACCTCCCACAATAGCATGATGCATCATGAATTGTGTTGCAAAGGGACTGCAGTCACTCCAGAATACACTGAGCGTAAAATCACAGGTACTAGATTTCGGGGAAGTGTATCCTGACACAATGCCAGGAGGATTGGACGTCATACAATGATGCATTATTACATTGGATGTACCACTACGTTAACTATGTACTACTGGACTTTGTAACATGGAGGGAAAGAAAAGAGTTTAGGAAACAGACTTGAGAGGCTTATATAGTGAATGAACCTCAGCCCGGGCATTGCCGGCAGCCACTCAGCCACTTGCGGACCGGTTATACGGATAATACCATCGGAGATCAAACTGGGTTTCATTCACTACTAAAGGGAGTGAAACCTTGTTAGCGGTCTGTTTCTTTTCTCCAACTATTATTATAATTGCTTCACTATTTACTGAGTACATTCGTAGTACATTAAAAATAAATTCATGTATGCAATAATTTAAATTGCAATAAGTGCTCCGCTGTCTAAGCAAACCGGGAAATACGGTACTGAGTGCCCCCCTAGCGGTGCACTGGTATGATCTAAGCGCAGTCCCAAAATTGCGGCCAAAATAAGGCACCCCAACATATTCGTGTGCATGCTCAGCATATTTCTTAACGCTTCTCGCCTAACATAGTCATTATTTATTCTCTTGTCAAATGTAGACCAGAGTTAAAATATAGTACAGTACACATCCTAATAATGCATAATGCATAAAAAATTATAACAAATCAGGATCCAATCTTTTCGAGACGCACCAAGTCATCCATTCATAGAAATGAGCTTGGTCCATATATTGCTGTTAATGTACAATTTTTTGCGCCCAAGAATGATTTTCTAGTGATTTGTTTGTATTTTATTTATTTATGCATTATTAGGATGTGTACTGTACATATTTGATTATGCAACATTTTTAAGATTTACTATTGAATATGAGTGTGAGTCATAGACGTAACATGTCCTTTATCTGGCCAAGAATCTAACAATACATCAGCTTGCGCCCACATATTAAATATTTTTCATCCAGTCATATCCATCATTTGATCATGAATTTTAAATTACAACTAATGGTGAACATTTTGCGACTCTGTTCTTAGATCCTAAATGCGAAGATAGCCTTGTAAATATTAATAATTTGTCCCCGAATTTGAGTAGGATATGTTATAGAGTCATATTTGGCTGCGTCTCAGGTGTCACCTCACCTCGACAGCAACACTATATATGGCTAAATGATTACGGTGACTGTAACGCTGTCATGGGGGTCCGAAGTTACGCCCGGTGGATGTCATTTCCCCCACCTCTTGGTCTTGTCAATAACGGGCAACAAACAGTGGAACACATCCCTCCCATGTTAGCATCTTTCGCCATCTAAGTATCTTCTGGCCTATCAGCACCGTTACTATTCATCCCGTACGTCGCACTAAGGACGAAATGGACATGCTCATGAAGAGCGAGTTGGGCCTGCAAGACAAAGACCCCCGGGTTCTGTGGGAGGAGGACCTCCAGCTTGCGACCTCCATCCTTCAAATCCTCATCCCGCAATCCAATCTTGGAAAATCGGAAATCAAAAAAATCGCTCACATCAAGAAAGTACCGGGGGGCAACACTCAAATATATGGGGCTCCCGTTTTCGATAAACAATGGAGGCTCAACGTGAAGGATCCCTTTCCGAGTCAGAGGAAACGTAAGATGCCAGTTCGGCGTGCCCCGTTGCAGACTCAAATCGAGTCGCAGATAGATACCGACGTGGAAGAGGATTTCATGCCAGAGACGAAAGGCAGCTTGGAAAAGCATGTTTTCGTCAAAGCTGGAAGGAAAAGAGCAAACTTGAAGTCTGCAGAGGAGCCGGAAGAAAAGAATTGGGAGCGTCTTTTCCGGGCGATATACTATTATATGCGCGAGATGCTCAAGGAGCAAATTCAAAAGCGCAATAGTGGTCACTCGCGACCCTTTCACCCTCTACCTTTCAGAGAACTACCAGATCTCCGGTACTGGTCCTCAGAGTTCGCTATCAGTCCTTTTCCGGACGCCACCGATTCGTGGAAGTCTGGTCTTGTCCTCCTGGACTACAAGCTCCGAAAGTTAGACTCCTCCGAAAAGTCCTGGAAGGACGTCCTCACAGGAATCGAGATCACCCAATCTGATCTTTCCAGCGATCGCAAAATTCCTTTGTTCTTGGGCATCGTTACCAAGGGTTATCTGATGATGCGGGAGCAACCATGGCGTCGTTTTGTCCTGCTTTTCAGTATCTCCAAATTCAAACTTCGTGCCCATTATATAGATCGCTCTGGCTTGGTGATATCAGAACCACTCCAGATTGATAGATTCCCCGTACGTTTTGTCGACGTCTTAAATACCACTACTTTGGCAAATCGTTCCTCCCTTGGCTTTGATCCAACAATTCACATCTGCAACTCTTGTAGCACCGTCCCAAGTCACACCAATTTGCCGGACGGCTTCGATACCATGCTTCCCGGGGCGATAGGCTGGGTTTACGATAACGACCAGAACGTGTATTGGATCATGGAGATTCTATGGAAAAGCCGCGGATTTTTCAAGCGCGGAACCGTCTGTTATCGCGTTCGAGACAAGTTTGGTCGGGAGTACGCGCTGAAGGATTGTTGGGTCAACGAGGACGTCAAGGATGTCGAAATAGACTTTCTGAAAGCGGTCGACGGCATCCAAAATGTGGTTCAACTCGTCAAATATTGGGATGTACTTTATGATGGGCAGCCCGACTCCACATCGCACATTCGCAGTCATTGCCCGACATTCGTATTCAAGAAAAAAATTCATCGCCGTATTCTCTTGACACCCTGTGGGCTTCCACTGACGCAATTCAACGACATACTTGAGCTTATCGGGGTTTTTCGTGACCTCGTGGTTGGTGAGTTTTGTTCGCAAACACGAAGTCCTCTTTAATCACCATGAATTGTAGCCCACAAAGCCATGGTTGGCCGACGTGTCCTTCATGGAGACCTCAGCCCTAATAATATTATCATTTACGAAGGAAAAGGCTACTTCATAGACTTTGACCATGCAAAGTTTCTCGATGCTGATGGAAAAGCTGACGAGAGTCCACGTGGTACTGTGCGTCGTGTTTTTTTTTCTGCTTATGTTGATCTCATAGTTTACAGGGAACCATACCATACATATCCTTCCGCGTTCTTCGCCTAATGGGAGATGGTCATTCGGTCCGACACACGCCCTGCGACGATCTCGAGTCGCTCTTCTATATCCTACTTGAATTCACTGTTGTGTATTTAGGACCCAAGGGTGCACTGGCCCCCCGACTTGACGAGGAGAATTTGCATCGGGACCCCGTTCGGAGGTGGGGGATCGACTATGAGAGTTTGACCTTTGATAGTCTCGCGACCAGCAGCATGTGGAAGCGTGAATTCATCCATGGTCTCACTGATCCCCCGCTAGTCACCTCGTACTTCACACCCTGCCGCCCCCTCCTCGATGAGTGGCGTCAGGCGATTTCATTCGCAAGTACTCAGTTGACGGCCATCTCTCACGACAACATTTGTGATGTTCTAACACGGGAGTTAAGCTCGATCAGTCAGCAACTTGCCCAAACACCTCCTCCTGCACTTCCATCCACGCTGGAGCCAACGATAGCTCTGTCGCCTTCTCCTGCACCACTCACATCACAGCTGGTTACAACCGTCGCCGCGTCGCTTACAGTGTCTCGATCTGTGCCTGTTCGTGCGACATCTGTCCCCTTGCCGCTTCCTGATCCTCCCTTAGCTGTCCGTCGCCCTCGTCGTCCAAACCGGGTGCCTGGCAAACGCTAGCTAGCTGGTTCGGTTTCCGTTCACGGTATACATTTTTGTAGAGTATGTCCCCCACAAAACGCAATCACTACATCCGATACCTCGTATATTCATCTTGATTTTTCGTCGAAGCATTTCTCAGAAACGTGAACTCTTCTTCAATCTCGGTTTCCGTCATTTTCGCAAAACAAATTCAGTACGTTTGACATCTCATATTTCTCCGTTCAAGCATCTCCCGCAAATGTGGACTTTCGTAAGTCTTACCCTTCGTCTTGCGTATAATTCTATGCGGCGTTCACTTGAACTAAACAAATTTCCTTCATTGCACCCTTGGAGCAACTCACAATCGGTCACATTGTCAGTCACTATATCCAGTCGCTGGAACTCTCCACTCAAAGTGGAGAAGTCGGGCCAACGTCTGATGAGTTATCAGGGATGCTTGAAGTCTGTTATGCAGGCAGGTGTCTCGATGGCCCTGGACGTCGCCATCCTCGCTATTCCAGGTTTAGGAACATCAGCAATGGCACAGACATTGTGCTCCTGTTCCTTGATTTTAGGTGTCGGGTGCATTTTTGCAGGAAATATGGTGCAACACTTCGGCGAGAGAATGGGATCTCTAGATTTCGCGGTTCGGTTCACTTCACATATCTGCAGCCCGACCCTGACATTACAAACTAGGCATACTACCTTCGTAAGAAGAGAATGGTGCTCATCATCATTACAAGCATACCAACTTTTTTTTGCGTACTGAGGTAAGTAACCTGGTTATAATCACTTTGCATTGCTCATCGACTGGTTAGCGTGATCGGGTCCATCTTAGGATTTCTTTCAGGTGTCATTAGGGACTTTAGTCCATCTGCGCCCCTAATCATCACATGCATTATTACTCTTTGCATTGTGGCGTGCCTCTTACTTGTGTTGTTGATTTCTAGCTATGGTCCAGGTCTGACTCGAATGCGGCCGCAGTGAATTTCCCTGTCCTAAAATGGATGTAATCCAGGAGTCGCATAGATTTGGGTCACTCAGGCGCCATGATCCTGGTAGACGAAGGGCATAAAGCAGAATAAAGGGGAGAGTGTAACGGTAATTACGGTTCTTCCAAACGGACGTTGTACGAAGTCTCGAAAGTGTCGTCTTTTATGATGTATTCATCCTGTTTTCTGTCCGCGATATCCTTGTATTTGGGCATTTGTCTTCCTGATTTGTCGATCTATCAACGACTGATATGGCCAAAGAAGTCGGGCCAACGTCTGATGAGTTATCAGGGATGCTTGAAGCTTGTCCTCGCCTGCAAAATCTTGTGATTAGGAAATCTGGCCCGCTGGCTGGACTTTCACGTCAGGTATCACTCCCGCTGCTTCAGCGGCTTCACTACGAATATTCGTGCATCGGAGGTGACGTCAGGCCATTTAGTTCCTCTTGGCCACTACTACAATAGTTACATTATTCTTGCTAGTACTGTAGAAGAGGCAGGTCTGGTCTCGACCAGACCTGCGCTCAAGAAGGAATTTGATAAGTTGCACGAACGCCATAGATGTTGGCGATCGTATGCGGGGAACTGGCGCGAAGACCACCTGAGCATGGAAAGTGCTTCTCCGGGAGAAAAACAGGAGGTCCAATGATCGCCATCAACCCTTGGCGCGAGGACGAACGAGTCAGCCTACTAGTGTTTAATCAGCCCACATGACGGACTCTGAAGCGGAGGGCTGAACTTCCCTGTTGTCCATATTCATCACTTCCGTGTCCGCTGTAGTATCAACCTAGTATCCGTCTTGTTGTTATGACGTTTACTCACTTGGTATGACCTTGAAGTAAAAATTTCTGACAGCCTGACGACCTCAGCGATGCCACGAATCTGATTCAAGGAGACTGCCGTCCCCTTGTAGGTGCTCGTGGCAAGTACCAAGCCTTCGTGGAAAACTGTCCCAGGTGCAGGTCCGCTGCTTTGCGACAACATAGATCATCTTGTCAAAATGGTACTTCTTCCATCACTGTATCGCGTTACAAGTGTCACGAGTGAGATATATCGAAGGTGTCCGGAAGGTGATTGCTTTGCCAGACGCACTAGCTTTTGACATGTTTCGAGATCGATGCAGACGTCCGTGAAGCATAAAATGCTTGGAACTGTGAGGTAGTAAGTTTTATGCAGCATCGTTACAATTGTAGCGTGTATTCACTGGGTACATCCTGATGCCAATAGTCTTGTATACATTATTGGCTTAATTTGTGATGGTATGATCAGAGATGGGATTGGTGTTGGTATTGGCAGAAGCTCGTCTAAGATGCATCCCTGCGCACTCTGTCAGTTTAGAGTTTTTTCAATAACATGATAGCTTACCCTGCGCATTGCAGATGCTTCTTCATCGCTCATCGCAAGCTCCCTCGTGTAAATATGCGGGTCAGTCATGTATGTATGAACTAGTACTGTGTAATTGTAGATGACCAAGATGATTCATAAGTGGTAGGGTGGTTGGCATGGTGAGGGTATGATTGGGGTTATGGACTGTGATCGGCAAGTATCAGCTTGTATAAGATTCATCCCTGCACGCTATTTAGTTTAGAATGTTCTACATGAACCAAGGACTTACCCTGCGCGATGCCGATCTTAGGCGTTGGATCAGGCGAGTGCAAGCGCGTGCACTGTTGCGCATCAACCGCGTTATCAGGGACGGTGTTGGGGGGTTAGGGGCCTCGAGTTCGTAAATCAGGAACTGCGTGTGTGACGCAGTATTACTGAACACATTACCACCGTGACCTTTGACGCGAGGTATTCGAGTTGTGTCTGTGAAAATGGGTGTATTGTGGTAGATGAGATTCACGTGCGATAAACTTACGATATTGTCCACGTTGATGCCGACGTGAGGTATATTCAGAACGCGAGACATGTTTTTGGTCTGACATTTAGATATAGATGGGTACGTTTGAACGATAATCTATTTTCTTACCGTAATTGTTCCTTTTATAGCAGTTATAAGTGGTTGATTAAGATGACGATTGAATCGTATTCAGATCAACCATTATGTAATAGTGTTTTGTCTCTAGCTTACGTCATGTTGCTTGCACTGGCTTATCATCGACATCTTGCTGAAACCGGTTCTTGGGGTATGAATAAGTTCGTCATCTTGCTGCTGAAGCAGGACAGGACTATACCATCCGTCAAGAGGGTGAATGACCGGGCATTTTGGGGGTAGACGTGACTAGATCTTTGGGGGACCGTATCAGTAAACTCTCTGATTCTACCATCCTACGAGGCTGTTATTCGGCATGCACTAGAACGAAAATTCCGAAACTTGATAGACTTGCCTTATGATCATTTCCCTCGCCACAAGCCCAACCAGTGCCGACGGATACTATCGATCGTCATATTGATGAACGCTAGCCTGCGGGAAAAGGCGGATTACCGTATCTCGGTTACGGTCCATTCTTGATGAAAAAGCGTGACTCACGAAATTACGTCGGGCGCAAAAAACTTGAGATCTGTAGTAGTAGCAAGTGGCTAACAAGCTGGTGATGATCCGAATGATGCTACAACTTGCAGGCTTGTCGGTTTCGTGATGCCGGTCGAAGATGTGCAAACCGAGCGGGCACCGATGCAAACGGGCAGACTCTTGCAAGATTTCCTGAGTCATAAGTACTTGAGTAATTAAGCTGCTCGGGACGCTCTCTCATTGGTGAACTCGCTAGTGTGTGGATTTATTTCGGAGTCAAACGCGTCCGAGTCCCTCGAGCTGAAGCTGTTAGGGAACTCCGCTTGCCTCATCACCCTGAGATCTTAGCGTAAAATGCTACACGCTCGACTGTAGACTAACTCTGCTCCGGCATTTGAACTTCACACAATCTGAATCCCTTATGACTTGTTTCGTGAGTCATGCTTTTTGGCGTGGAAGCATGGTTATTGGTAACACAGCGACGCGAAGAATTTTAAAAGTGTGACTCACGGACATGACGGTCCATCCGAATTACATATAAACCCGTACTATCCCTGAGTTAGTAACGGTCTATTCGTGAGTCGCTTTTTCGCGAATATCTTCATGACTCAAGTACCGTACATTACTTGCATTGCGCGACCAAAACCATCATTAACGCATCACGTTTCCACGCCAAAAAGTGACTCACAGAATGGGCAGTCTCACGAACAGACCGCTACGTAGGGTATAGTAATTGTAGTAAGTAGCTTTTTTATCGTGGAGTCAGCTGCACTGGCGGCAGGATGGTCCAGCGCACTCCTTCTCATGCCAGTTGTGTTTAGAACACCGAAAATCGGACCTGCTTCAAGACATCTAGATCTGCACCGTAGCACGTGCAGTAGCAGCCTATCAATGTGTTGTGTAAATACAAAATACAAAATATATTACATACACTTTGACGTCCAGATAAATCAAAGTGCCCATCAGGCTGATTGTACGCGAGGGACAGCCTCAAAACGAAAACGTAAATGAGCGCAATCTCTCCCTGCTCCATGGCGCACATGGGATTAGGAAATATTGTCCTGGTGCTGAAGCGAGATGTCGCCGGGGTTATAAACTAATTGCACTCGCACTGTAAGTTCAAGTTCTCGTTGCAACTTGCGCCACAGACCGCATCCGTTCTGCTCCTTTTCCAAAGTTACATTGGACGCTCCTTACGATGCAGTACCCGGACGAGGTCAACGATCTTGCCCAGCTAACAATGGAGGAATTTGTTGGCCATTCCCAGCACCTTTTTAAGCAGATTAAAGATCGTCCTTCAGAGGTAGACTTTATTCGCTTCGTATTGGCAGGTAGGGCTGGGCAGCAGGCAACTGACGAGCCCGACGACTGTCATGTCACTTTGAATTGCCTGCAGGGCCTCCCTCCTCTTCCTCAGACTCGCATCAGTCGGGACCTTGACTCTGCCATTGGGGTATCTTGCACGTTACCCTATACAAGTGCTTTGGCGATCTGGCCCATTCCTCCTTTCAAGGAGGTGCTGACGAAAGATAATCATGCTCAGAGTCATGCATACAATGATCAGGTGAGACTAGTCAATGTTAGTCGCTAGTGGCGTATTCTGATGATCACGGTACCAGGGCGATAAGATTCTCGTTCCCATGCACAAAATTCCTAACGTGCCGTTGGGCAAAGTCCAACAAAGACATGTCGTGCGAATATTCTTTCCTCGGCTCTACAGTGCAGACGGTGCAGCTATGGTGTCTCAAGAGAACTTGGCCCTCGTCTACGACCGTTGCCTCCGCCCCACATTAGCAGAAGTTCTGCCGGAATTTGCTGATCGGGCGCCAACATCATATGCTGCCGCATACATGCAGGCGAAGACTCGCGCCGGGGGGCTCGCGTTCAACACCCTAGACGTCCCTTGGAATAGATTGGAAGAAGTTGCCACAGTATTGCTAGCCAAACTTCAGGAGCAGGAGCCTGCTTTCAGGGACGCGTATTTTGTCCACGAGCTGAGGGGAACGAAGGGGGGTACTATACACGATGGCGAGAAAGATTGGGAGCGACAGATGGCTTTCGAAGATATGTTCGAGCATGTCGATGTCGATAATTTGAACCCTCAGGAGTGGCTGGTCGATGTCGCTTTGACCATTGGAGTAGAGGGACATGTCGTCACATGGCGCAAGTCTTGTCACCGGGACCTCCTCAGACATCTCATGCCTCGCGCATGCCCTCAAAAAGTCGCTGCCCTTACCAATGACCGCATTTTTCCTTATTTCGTCCAGGAAGCTCGAGTAGCAGTGCAAGGCTCTTTGACCAAATACACTGTAATGATATTTAGAATCACAGTACGCAAAATTTCAAACGACGATGCTCACATATTGTTGTCCACAGTGAGGAGCGAATAGGATCACGATTACTGGTTTGGTCACGTTGCAGGTTGAGCGTGGAATTGGGCAGTCGAGACCTGAAGTGGACAAGACACATGCAAGAGAGAACGACATAGCAACAAGCAATCACTCACTAACTTAAGAGAGCCTTAGGTGCTGTTTTGGACAGCGAACTGGAAACTTGCCAGGAGAGTGGCGAGTAACACTGAAACAAGTCGAACAAGGTTGACAGGACGAAGCCATGAATTCTTAGATCGTTATACAGGTGAGCAGGTGATAGTAAATAGGAGACCCGAGTCTGTCGAATCTAAGCATCAAACGTCGTGATATAAAGGGAACGTTGCATGTGATTCGTGATTTTGTAAGCAGATGGTAAGCGTCCAGCTTACACCTCCCATTCTCCGAAAAATCTTCCATGGCGTCCATATGGCTTTCATCATCTACCGTTTCTCTATCAGTCGTTTGCGCGTGAAGGTGTGTTTGTTCTTCTTCAGACTCTTTATTTTCTTCACTGACATCCGTGTGGTGTTCTGTATGAAGTCTTGTGTTGTAGTCTTGTAGTGCGTCTGTATCTTCGAGGTCTTGTCTAGCGACCCACACGTCGTTCTCCGGTCCACATCTGCGCCACCGGACAAGATATTGGTGGCCGCGTCCTTGTTTTCTTCTGTCCAGAACCCTCTCGATTTCCCATTCTTGTGTGCCGGCCATGGTCACGATAGGTCCCGGTGTTGGAGCTCTCTTGAGGGGTACAGTGTTGCGTCGTTGGGTACATGTTTCTTGAGTTCTGAAGCATGGAAAGTCGGATACACGTTAGTATGTTCAGGCAAATCTAGTGTATACGTCGATGACTCAGGGTTCGTCGATATGATTGTATAGGGACCGTCGAACCGAGGCATGAATTTCGCGACCCTTTTGTTGTCGCCGTTGAGGTATTCTCTCCGTCTGTGCGCTGTTGAAAGATAGACGAGGTTGCCAATTTCGAACGTAAGTTCCTTTCCTCCGTGTTTGTTAGCTGTGTTAGCTTGTGAGATCTTAGATGCTAGGAGTGCGTCATGTGCGTCTGCAATGTGCGTCTTCAGTGAGACGATCGCCTCGAGCGCGTTCACGATGTCAGCTGGTAAACCCTTGTGAGTCTTTTGTATCCTGTCGGGCGTTAGTGGCGGTAGTCGACATGGAGTCCATCCCAAGTGCCTTGACAGGGTTGTGGGACACCTGTGATGAGATTGAGGAGGGTCGATTTTCCGGCACAGTTTGCACCAAGGATGGCTACATGAGAGTCCATACTACGTACAAGTGAGCTGGATAAGACTCAAGATAGGAAGAAGTACAAGACAGCAAGCAGATATTTCAAACAGGCACGCCTTCATCGTGTTCTCGAGAACTTGGTTCCTCGTGCGCCGAGTCGGGTGCGTGCATCTCACGGAGCGCAAAAGGTTGACTCTTGTTCACTGTGTGGCGTTGATTAGTTTGCAGGAACAGCTTATATCAACCAACTTACCCAGCCAAGATTCGTGCAAAATTCATGACAATCTCAATGTCCATTCCTATGAGTATCATTAGCACTGCGTCAGTTGATCCAGTATCAGACATGACATTGCCATCGAGTTCATACCAAGATATCTTCTCGATCTTCCGAAGGGAGGTCAGCGTCACAGTGTCCCTCGTGGTAGGGATGGATACATCCTTGCCGCTAGAGATAATTTCCGCCAGGTCATCTCGGCCGAAGAGTTGTAGCCAACGTCGGCGACGCGCTGCCAGATCGAGATCAGGGATTCTGATGGCTGCAACAAGGAAAAGTTAGTGATGCAGTTGGGTCAGATAGCTATGTATATCCTACATCTAACTGAGTCATTTATTAAAGGGCGTTACGTGCGCAAGTATACTTCTACATCCTTTCACATGAAATGCATCTTCTTGGCCAAATTAGCGTGTTTGTCTTTAAAGTTTTTCCTCCGGCGTTCAAGGTCAAAAGCGTCGTCATGGCTAGAGATAGTAGCAGCGTCGAAACCCATGGCGGGGTTGACATGGAACGCGCCACGCGCGCAGACGATCTGTTGAATGGTTATAGTTAGTTGTGGATGCTGGGCGTGACAGGATGAGATGGGATACTTGCATCGGCGTCTTTGGGCGAGAAAAAGAACATGTCAGACGCATGCACTGTAGATAAATAGATATAAGTCACAATAAACGGGAGCCGGAATCGAGACGGAACGCGTTGCACGCGCGTAAGAATGGCACAAAGTAAATGCGAGCTCCTGCAGGCTAAAGAAAGGTGAGGGGGTATTATGACAAATGTTAGGCTGCGGACTTACTCGTCTGTGTTGTGCTTATACACGTCGTCCCTTGGTGTGATGTAATGACTCGGCCTGCTAGCTGTACAAGTAATCAGCGGTCGAAAAAAGGTTGAGTAACTGTAATAAACGTACTTCCGAGGAGACCGCCGTGCGATTGTAAGTAAAAGTCGCGCACTGCTGGATTTCCCACTCCCTGATCGGCAACAAATCCTGCGGGACAGTTACCAGACTTGTCCCCATCGTTCCTATGCATTCATAAATTGACTAGAAACGATGGTAACAACCGAGCGGCATACCTGTTCCTTGGGAAGAATCGGACATAGTGTCTTGAGGAAACATAGCGGATGAGCGACAAAAGCGGATGCATAGAATAGATCGCAGACTTACCGTTTACCTACGACGATGAAAGTCAGTTCAGGTTTCGCGCACTTTATGCCTTTGTCCCGCCAGATGTCATCAATCGCCCCTAGTAGACGGGGTGAAAACAAGGAATGGCCGTCGCTGAACTAACTCACCTGTGATATCCTCAATCTCCTCTTGTCCCGTGAGCGCGTATTCTCCTTCGGAAAGGCCATCTCGGAAGAAAATGATGCGTATGGGTGCGGCCCTGTTACGCTCGCCAAACTCGAAGATCGCACGCTTGTGATAGTTGAACCACGTGTACATATAACAGACGGAATGAACTTACATATACTAATTTGCGTAATTCGTCAATCTTTTCTTGGCGGGGGTGTTGAACCGACATCATCGATCCGTACCGTGCAGCATACCGATCAAATGAGTAGACGAGAGATGCCACAGAGGGCTGGTTGATCATGCCAGGTGCGGGATGCCCTACATCGGCACCTGGTGCAGGATGAACCAGCCTTCGATGAGTCTCCAAGGCCAAACAGGGACGGTACATACCCATAATCATGAACGGAGCGCTCATGAGCTTCTCCAACGCACCTGACCTTGATAATGAATTGACGCCTCCAAGTTTGGCGTTGATCCTACCAAACAAGTCAAGGGTGCACATCGAGACAGAGATCAAAATTTGACGCACTTCATGCCTAGATTCGCACAATACTGATCATTTGCTCTCTCGATCTTGTTCTCTCGCTAGATGGAGAGGATTGTAACGGAGGTCGCAAACAACGCGACATGACTTACGACACACTGTGTTGGGAACTAGGCAAGATGTAAGCATCATTCGAACCACTCATGTAAGAACACATACACCAGCAATAACATCACCGAACGACTTGATAGCGTGATAAATGTCCGTCGAGCTTGTCGGCAGGATGGCCAATACCATCTCCGGATCTTTACCTATCCTGCTGCTGACGGCATTTTTGAGCGATCTCATGTCCTGCTTAACATAAGCACGTGTTAGTGGATGACATGATGTAGCACTTACGTTTACCACGGACGATGCGCCAGCACAAGATTGGCTCGCCGCAGGTGGGGATACATCTGCCAGACAACGATCAGTAGCTAGAAATAAAATTCAACATCCCATTTACTCATTCCTAAGATAGACAAGGTTAGTTTGAGATACATAGAAGATAGAAACGCTGATGATACCAAGTTTCTTGCATGCGTTGAGCAAAGTGTTAACGAAGCGATTGTTTGTTTGGTCGTTAACCCTTGAGTAATTGGGTTATATAAATCGCGTAATGTGTGAGACCGCGACGGCGCCGCCTGTGATGGGTCTTTCGAGGATGGGCTATAGATGCAGTTGAAAGTAGCAGTGGCTCGCGATCTTTAATTCTCAAGAATCTTTCCTCCTCTTCATTTCTGCAAAACAGTAGATGCATCGATGATGCTTCGTCATCGTGTCGGGATGTTGAGGCCTGAATGACACAACTTGTGACGTTCCATGATCGTCGGGCCAAGTAGTCGTGTAATCTCCGCATCGCTCGGTTAATGTGTCCACACTAAGCGCGACGAGCACGATCTGCCACTACCAGCCTGAGTGTGTGCGTGTGCGAGCAGTACTAAATCCTGACCGACTTCCCTGAGGGCCGAGGCCCTCATGCCGTGTCTCGTATTAGGCGGTGTATCAAGTCAAGTGCGGCTAGATATAAATGAATTAGATGGCGCCGGTATGACGAGTGAGACATGGGATAGAGTGCCAGTGTTCTTAGTAAAATGCATGGTGATTGGATTGGTCAGGCTGAGTGCGATGAGTACTGAATCTCACCAGTCAGTCTGAGGTACCCGCCGCAGTGCATACGTACTTTTGCCCTGGGTACGCACTGACTGAGAATGGCCTGAGTAGTGCCTGCTGCTCGGCCAACAACACCACGGGCCACAGACTGTCTTTCTGCCCGTTCCTAGGGCCCCTTTCAGCAAGATATTCTATAGATGATAAAGGTCAACGAGAGTGATGCAGGAGTGTCGCTTCAAAACACACCATGCCGTTCAACACTTTATCTTGCTGTGGACTGTCATAAGGGATAATCAGGATGACGCTGCAGATACAATGCAAGGGCATCGCAGAAGAGGGAAGGTGGCGGCATCAATGTCTTGAAGATCATTTCGGATGTAGCATATAAGACAGGCCCACGCAAGATTGGTGAGAGCCGCTGCATAGTCTGGATGGCTGACCGGACACTGGTCCAGAACCAGCTGAAAATGCTCTACAGCGTTGTTCAGGTGAGAGACTGTCTTGCTCGTCGCGTATGTGGCAAATTGTGCGTCAGTCAAAGCTAACGGGATAGATACCAGCGCCACCCACGTCCGAAGGTGTATCTTCCTGATCGTCGCAAGCATGTACAATGGCGGCCTTCAGCTTAAGAGAAGGGTGGACTGTGAACACGAGAGGGAAGGATATATCTACGAGACGTTAGTGTATGTGCATGAATGAGAAGTGAATCACTCACCAAATGACTCATTTCCATGATCCAGTGGCTCGTTCCATGACATTTGAAGTCCTCCAACGACCTCACCTCCGCCTAGCTCATAGGACGACCTGATCTCCACTGACAACACAGGTAAGGGTTCCCAGCAACTTTATTGTTTTGGTTGAGTATAACCGCACTCTGCGTTATAAGTTAGCTCGATTCAAATGGCATGGTCACCCGGTCGATTGACTTACCGTCCCATCCCCCAATCGCGCATACTCTCCTGTCACTCTGTATGGCAACGGCGCCATCTCCTGGATGTTTGGTCTTCAAAGCAATCGTCGTCCTCCTGCACTTCTGTGCCCTCCACTATTTCCATGGTTCTCGTGTCTCTCGGTGCTGCGCGTTCATTTATCCTTGCTGTTAGCGTTTGCTGACATGTCTCGGGGGTGAACGCCTGGTGCTTTGGGGAGCGCGATTAGCGTGGGCGTAAGTGACGCGTGGTCAGCGTGTTCCGATTGGAAGCGTGTTGAGGCATGTGTGGTCCGAATGGCGGAGGAATAAGTCATAGATTGAGTGCAGTCGTAGTGCCGAGTGCCGAGTCCAGCTTGGGGATGTGATATTGGTAGGACATTTGGGCAGGACAGCAAATATAGGAGTTGGGCTGGTAACAGAAGAATGCAGAGGTGTTTTGTCGATGGAAGCATGCGGCATATCGATTTCGAATGTTTCGCAAAAAGTATGTAGTCACGTGAACGAAGCTTCGGGAAGGTGGAGAATGCGACCGGACGGACTCGGAGTGCGAGGAGAAGCACAGAAGCTTAGTGTATCGAAGGAGACGTGCTAGAGATGAGTTTGTTAGAAAAGGAGCGATCAAGACATATAAAGAGCCACCTAATAACGTCTCGAGGGAGGGAAGTACGAGAAGAAGAAAAGATGCATACTGAATATTGTCCCTCCTCCACTATATAGGCCTCCAGAGCGCGCCAAAGTGTTGAAAGAAAAGGGCAACGTATGATTTTTCGGGCATGGATGCGAAGCAAGTAGATGCATTAATTAGCACAGTAGGGTAGAGAATGGATCAGAGTCATCAGACGCACAAATTTCTCTGGTAACAAGACACAAACTGGACCCATATCGGGTAATCTCTCAGTTGCCCAATTTTTGTGGTGGATGACTCGGAGGTTCGCTGTCCAAAACAGCACCCAAGACTTTCTTAAGTTAGTCAGTGATTGCTTGTTGCTATGTCGTTCTCTCTTGCATGTGTCTTGTTCACTTCAGGTCTCGACTGCCCAATTCCACGCTCAACCTGCAACGTGACCGAACCAGTAATCGTGATCCTATTCGCTCCTCACTGTGGACGACAATATGTGAGCATCGTCGTTTGAAATCTTGCGTACTGTGATTCTAATTATCATTACAGTGTGTTTGGTCAAAGAGCCTTGCACTGCTTCATTGTGTACTCGGTTCTTCATCGTGCAACATAATGTGGGCCGCGACAGGAACTGTTGGAAATTTTGACTTCAAAGTCATACCAAGGTAAGTAAACATCATAACAAAAATGCAGATTAACAACAACACGCAGACTAGGTTGATAGCACAGAACGGAGACGGAAGTAATGAACAACAAGAAAGTTCAGTCCTCCTGCCCAGAGTCCGTCACATTATCCTCGCTAGGTTGATCAAACGCACGTAAGCTGACTCGTTGATTCTGGCGCCGAGGGTTGATGGCGATCATCGGGCCACCTTTTTTCTCCTTAGGAAGCACTTTCCATGCTCTACTGGTCTTTGCGCCTGTTCCCCACATACGATCCGTCGATGTCCATGGCGCCCATGCCAGCTTATCAAATTCCTTCCTGAGCACATCTCTGATCTTAACCAGATCTGCGACGCTTACACTACTAGCAAGAGCAATGTAACTCTTGTAGTAGGAGCAACTAGGAAAATTCTGACCACTGAGTCGAGCTTCCTGGACGGAAGAAGGAAAAATGCGGTCAAAATGCATTTTCCACTGATCTGGCGTGCATACGCAGTACTGAGCTTGATCGAATGGCAGCTCAAGGATCTGTAGCAGCTCCGGCTGTGCTAGATCCATGCGTCTGTGGACAGGGATGGTGAGGTATGAACCCTCCCGCTTAGATTTCCTGTTGGGTGCTTGTTCGATGACGTCAAAGATAAACTGCTCATAGATCTTCGCAACACGCTGGCCAACTGAGGGTTCGTCTTGCGGATCGTCCCCGGCCTCGTTGAGGTCTCGCTCATCGCCCCCATTCAAGACATGCAAGTCCACGTCCTTGCCTGCCAAGCGTACTGCAGGTTTGACAAGGACGCCCCTAATTTCAATATCTAAGACCCGACGTTCCGGATCTCTGACATCATCGACATTTCTGGTGTTCCGGTTGCGATTGTGTGTTCTCGCAGCGTTGGGCAGTTGCTTGCTGGGTACAACATTACTCCAATCAAACGAGGCCTTGACGTCATTTATGGACGCTTGGTGGTAAATACGAGCTATGGACTCCGGGTCAAAGGTCCTCTGTAGCGGTAGTCGTAGAAATGTGGTGCGTCCTGTATTCATGACAATGTCACAGATGAAATATATGCCGCTGTCATATAGGATCGGTACGGTAGGGGCGTCTTCATCGCCCGCTTCGAGGTCTTCAAGCACTCGCTGGCAACAATTCTCAATCAAATTCTCCCACCCGAAACCCTCAGCAGGACGAGTGAAACATGCGTTCATCATGTAAATACATATCGCTCCCAGGCCCAGTGTGGGGTCCAGGGTACGTACCCTTGGATCGGCTTTGACCGAGTCTTTGAGCACTAGACGGATTCCAGCCAGGCGATAATAGATGTGAAGCCTGGGACACTGTCAGCTCGCAATGATGTCGACACAGGTGCGTTCTTACCACCATACACGTCTACTGATGGCAACCACACAGCGCTCAACCATATCACGAGGGAGAGTCACCAAAGAGTCCCGAGCCTTGTCCAGTGGAATCCGAATCTCCAAGCGGGCGCAGCCATCACGTCCTTCCACATTTCCTTCGCCAGCGCATTCGTAAAATACTTGGCTCATGACATCCAGGTCGTCCACTATCTTCTGTTCGGTCTTCTTTTGCAAAAGCTCTTTGGGTTGTCGGCGGCGGAACACCCCTGGGTGGAGCTGGTACGACGCATTCTTCTCAGTGCAATAGGCCTGCACGTATGTTATTTCATCGTTATCTTTAAAGTTGGCCGTGGTTGCACGGAAGCCGGCTAACTCTTTGATCTGCAGGGTGCGATCAAAGTGGAACTTTCGCTTGTTCTTGGTAAGAGCAGCGACTTTTTGAGGGCATGCGCGAGGCATGAGATGTCTGAGGAGGTCCCGGTGACAAGACTTGCGCCATGTGACGACATGTCCCTCTACTCCAATGGTCAAAGCGACATCGACCAGCCACTCCTGAGGGTTCAAATTATCGACATCGACATGCTCGAACATATCTTCGAAAGCCATCTGTCGCTCCCAATCTTTCTCGCCATCGTGTATAGTACCCCCCTTCGTTCCCCTCAGCTCGTGGACAAAATACGCGTCCCTGAAAGCAGGCTCCTGCTCCTGAAGTTTGGCTAGCAATACTGTGGCAACTTCTTCCAATCTATTCCAAGGGACGTCTAGGGTGTTGAACGCGAGCCCCCCGGCGCGAGTCTTCGCCTGCATGTATGCGGCAGCATATGATGTTGGCGCCCGATCAGCAAATTCCGGCAGAACTTCTGCTAATGTGGGGCGGAGGCAACGGTCGTAGACGAGGGCCAAGTTCTCTTGAGACACCATAGCTGCACCGTCTGCACTGTAGAGCCGAGGAAAGAATATTCGCACGACATGTCTTTGTTGGACTTTGCCCAACGGCACGTTAGGAATTTTGTGCATGGGAACGAGAATCTTATCGCCCTGGTACCGTGATCATCAGAATACGCCACTAGCGACTAACATTGACTAGTCTCACCTGATCATTGTATGCATGACTCTGAGCATGATTATCTTTCGTCAGCACCTCCTTGAAAGGAGGAATGGGCCAGATCGCCAAAGCACTTGTATAGGGTAACGTGCAAGATACCCCAATGGCAGAGTCAAGGTCCCGACTGATGCGAGTCTGAGGAAGAGGAGGGAGGCCCTGCAGGCAATTCAAAGTGACATGACAGTCGTCGGGCTCGTCAGTTGCCTGCTGCCCAGCCCTACCTGCCAATACGAAGCGAATAAAGTCTACCTCTGAAGGACGATCTTTAATCTGCTTAAAAAGGTGCTGGGAATGGCCAACAAATTCCTCCATTGTTAGCTGGGCAAGATCGTTGACCTCGTCCGGGTACTGCATCGTAAGGAGCGTCCAATGTAACTTTGGAAAAGGAGCAGAACGGATGCGGTCTGTGGCGCAAGTTGCAACGAGAACTTGAACTTACAGTGCGAGTGCAATTAGTTTATAACCCCGGCGACATCTCGCTTCAGCACCAGGACAATATTTCCTAATCCCATGTGCGCCATGGAGCAGGGAGAGATTGCGCTCATTTACGTTTTCGTTTTGAGGCTGTCCCTCGCGTACAATCAGCCTGATGGGCACTTTGATTTATCTGGACGTCAAAGTGTATGTAATATATTTTGTATTTTGTATTTACACAACACATTGATAGGCTGCTACTGCACGTGCTACGGTGCAGATCTAGATGTCTTGAAGCAGGTCCGATTTTCGGTGTTCTAAACACAACTGGCATGAGAAGGAGTGCGCTGGACCATCCTGCCGCCAGTGCAGCTGACTCCACGATAAAAAAGCTACTTACTACAATTACTATACCCTACGTAGCGGTCTGTTCGTGAGACTGCCCATTCTGTGAGTCACTTTTTGGCGTGGAAACGTGATGCGTTAATGATGGTTTTGGTCGCGCAATGCAAGTAATGTACGGTACTTGAGTCATGAAGATATTCGCGAAAAAGCGACTCACGAATAGACCGTTACTAACTCAGGGATAGTACGGGTTTATATGTAATTCGGATGGACCGTCATGTCCGTGAGTCACACTTTTAAAATTCTTCGCGTCGCTGTGTTACCAATAACCATGCTTCCACGCCAAAAAGCATGACTCACGAAACAAGTCATAAGGGATTCAGATTGTGTGAAGTTCAAATGCCGGAGCAGAGTTAGTCTACAGTCGAGCGTGTAGCATTTTACGCTAAGATCTCAGGGTGATGAGGCAAGCGGAGTTCCCTAACAGCTTCAGCTCGAGGGACTCGGACGCGTTTGACTCCGAAATAAATCCACACACTAGCGAGTTCACCAATGAGAGAGCGTCCCGAGCAGCTTAATTACTCAAGTACTTATGACTCAGGAAATCTTGCAAGAGTCTGCCCGTTTGCATCGGTGCCCGCTCGGTTTGCACATCTTCGACCGGCATCACGAAACCGACAAGCCTGCAAGTTGTAGCATCATTCGGATCATCACCAGCTTGTTAGCCACTTGCTACTACTACAGATCTCAAGTTTTTTGCGCCCGACGTAATTTCGTGAGTCACGCTTTTTCATCAAGAATGGACCGTAACCGAGATACGGTAATCCGCCTTTTCCCGCAGGCTAGCGTTCATCAATATGACGATCGATAGTATCCGTCGGCACTGGTTGGGCTTGTGGCGAGGGAAATGATCATAAGGCAAGTCTATCAAGTTTCGGAATTTTCGTTCTAGTGCATGCCGAATAACAGCCTCGTAGGATGGTAGAATCAGAGAGTTTACTGATACGGTCCCCCAAAGATCTAGTCACGTCTACCCCCAAAATGCCCGGTCATTCACCCTCTTGACGGATGGTATAGTCCTGTCCTGCTTCAGCAGCAAGATGACGAACTTATTCATACCCCAAGAACCGGTTTCAGCAAGATGTCGATGATAAGCCAGTGCAAGCAACATGACGTAAGCTAGAGACAAAACACTATTACATAATGGTTGATCTGAATACGATTCAATCGTCATCTTAATCAACCACTTATAACTGCTATAAAAGGAACAATTACGGTAAGAAAATAGATTATCGTTCAAACGTACCCATCTATATCTAAATGTCAGACCAAAAACATGTCTCGCGTTCTGAATATACCTCACGTCGGCATCAACGTGGACAATATCGTAAGTTTATCGCACGTGAATCTCATCTACCACAATACACCCATTTTCACAGACACAACTCGAATACCTCGCGTCAAAGGTCACGGTGGTAATGTGTTCAGTAATACTGCGTCACACACGCAGTTCCTGATTTACGAACTCGAGGCCCCTAACCCCCCAACACCGTCCCTGATAACGCGGTTGATGCGCAACAGTGCACGCGCTTGCACTCGCCTGATCCAACGCCTAAGATCGGCATCGCGCAGGGTAAGTCCTTGGTTCATGTAGAACATTCTAAACTAAATAGCGTGCAGGGATGAATCTTATACAAGCTGATACTTGCCGATCACAGTCCATAACCCCAATCATACCCTCACCATGCCAACCACCCTACCACTTATGAATCATCTTGGTCATCTACAATTACACAGTACTAGTTCATACATACATGACTGACCCGCATATTTACACGAGGGAGCTTGCGATGAGCGATGAAGAAGCATCTGCAATGCGCAGGGTAAGCTATCATGTTATTGAAAAAACTCTAAACTGACAGAGTGCGCAGGGATGCATCTTAGACGAGCTTCTGCCAATACCAACACCAATCCCATCTCTGATCATACCATCACAAATTAAGCCAATAATGTATACAAGACTATTGGCATCAGGATGTACCCAGTGAATACACGCTACAATTGTAACGATGCTGCATAAAACTTACTACCTCACAGTTCCAAGCATTTTATGCTTCACGGACGTCTGCATCGATCTCGAAACATGTCAAAAGCTAGTGCGTCTGGCAAAGCAATCACCTTCCGGACACCTTCGATATATCTCACTCGTGACACTTGTAACGCGATACAGTGATGGAAGAAGTACCATTTTGACAAGATGATCTATGTTGTCGCAAAGCAGCGGACCTGCACCTGGGACAGTTTTCCACGAAGGCTTGGTACTTGCCACGAGCACCTACAAGGGGACGGCAGTCTCCTTGAATCAGATTCGTGGCATCGCTGAGGTCGTCAGGCTGTCAGAAATTTTTACTTCAAGGTCATACCAAGTGAGTAAACGTCATAACAACAAGACGGATACTAGGTTGATACTACAGCGGACACGGAAGTGATGAATATGGACAACAGGGAAGTTCAGCCCTCCGCTTCAGAGTCCGTCATGTGGGCTGATTAAACACTAGTAGGCTGACTCGTTCGTCCTCGCGCCAAGGGTTGATGGCGATCATTGGACCTCCTGTTTTTCTCCCGGAGAAGCACTTTCCATGCTCAGGTGGTCTTCGCGCCAGTTCCCCGCATACGATCGCCAACATCTATGGCGTTCGTGCAACTTATCAAATTCCTTCTTGAGCGCAGGTCTGGTCGAGACCAGACCTGCCTCTTCTACAGTACTAGCAAGAATAATGTAACTATTGTAGTAGTGGCCAAGAGGAACTAAATGGCCTGACGTCACCTCCGATGCACGAATATTCGTAGTGAAGCCGCTGAAGCAGCGGGAGTGATACCTGACGTGAAAGTCCAGCCAGCGGGCCAGATTTCCTAATCACAAGATTTTGCAGGCGAGGACAAGCTTCAAGCATCCCTGATAACTCATCAGACGTTGGCCCGACTTCTTTGGCCATATCAGTCGTTGATAGATCGACAAATCAGGAAGACAAATGCCCAAATACAAGGATATCGCGGACAGAAAACAGGATGAATACATCATAAAAGACGACACTTTCGAGACTTCGTACAACGTCCGTTTGGAAGAACCGTAATTACCGTTACACTCTCCCCTTTATTCTGCTTTATGCCCTTCGTCTACCAGGATCATGGCGCCTGAGTGACCCAAATCTATGCGACTCCTGGATTACATCCATTTTAGGACAGGGAAATTCACTGCGGCCGCATTCGAGTCAGACCTGGACCATAGCTAGAAATCAACAACACAAGTAAGAGGCACGCCACAATGCAAAGAGTAATAATGCATGTGATGATTAGGGGCGCAGATGGACTAAAGTCCCTAATGACACCTGAAAGAAATCCTAAGATGGACCCGATCACGCTAACCAGTCGATGAGCAATGCAAAGTGATTATAACCAGGTTACTTACCTCAGTACGCAAAAAAAAGTTGGTATGCTTGTAATGATGATGAGCACCATTCTCTTCTTACGAAGGTAGTATGCCTAGTTTGTAATGTCAGGGTCGGGCTGCAGATATGTGAAGTGAACCGAACCGCGAAATCTAGAGATCCCATTCTCTCGCCGAAGTGTTGCACCATATTTCCTGCAAAAATGCACCCGACACCTAAAATCAAGGAACAGGAGCACAATGTCTGTGCCATTGCTGATGTTCCTAAACCTGGAATAGCGAGGATGGCGACGTCCAGGGCCATCGAGACACCTGCCTGCATAACAGACTTCAAGCATCCCTGATAACTCATCAGACGTTGGCCCGACTTCTCCACTTTGAGTGGAGAGTTCCAGCGACTGGATATAGTGACTGACAATGTGACCGATTGTGAGTTGCTCCAAGGGTGCAATGAAGGAAATTTGTTTAGTTCAAGTGAACGCCGCATAGAATTATACGCAAGACGAAGGGTAAGACTTACGAAAGTCCACATTTGCGGGAGATGCTTGAACGGAGAAATATGAGATGTCAAACGTACTGAATTTGTTTTGCGAAAATGACGGAAACCGAGATTGAAGAAGAGTTCACGTTTCTGAGAAATGCTTCGACGAAAAATCAAGATGAATATACGAGGTATCGGATGTAGTGATTGCGTTTTGTGGGGGACATACTCTACAAAAATGTATACCGTGAACGGAAACCGAACCAGCTAGCTAGCGTTTGCCAGGCACCCGGTTTGGACGACGAGGGCGACGGACAGCTAAGGGAGGATCAGGAAGCGGCAAGGGGACAGATGTCGCACGAACAGGCACAGATCGAGACACTGTAAGCGACGCGGCGACGGTTGTAACCAGCTGTGATGTGAGTGGTGCAGGAGAAGGCGACAGAGCTATCGTTGGCTCCAGCGTGGATGGAAGTGCAGGAGGAGGTGTTTGGGCAAGTTGCTGACTGATCGAGCTTAACTCCCGTGTTAGAACATCACAAATGTTGTCGTGAGAGATGGCCGTCAACTGAGTACTTGCGAATGAAATCGCCTGACGCCACTCATCGAGGAGGGGGCGGCAGGGTGTGAAGTACGAGGTGACTAGCGGGGGATCAGTGAGACCATGGATGAATTCACGCTTCCACATGCTGCTGGTCGCGAGACTATCAAAGGTCAAACTCTCATAGTCGATCCCCCACCTCCGAACGGGGTCCCGATGCAAATTCTCCTCGTCAAGTCGGGGGGCCAGTGCACCCTTGGGTCCTAAATACACAACAGTGAATTCAAGTAGGATATAGAAGAGCGACTCGAGATCGTCGCAGGGCGTGTGTCGGACCGAATGACCATCTCCCATTAGGCGAAGAACGCGGAAGGATATGTATGGTATGGTTCCCTGTAAACTATGAGATCAACATAAGCAGAAAAAAAAACACGACGCACAGTACCACGTGGACTCTCGTCAGCTTTTCCATCAGCATCGAGAAACTTTGCATGGTCAAAGTCTATGAAGTAGCCTTTTCCTTCGTAAATGATAATATTATTAGGGCTGAGGTCTCCATGAAGGACACGTCGGCCAACCATGGCTTTGTGGGCTACAATTCATGGTGATTAAAGAGGACTTCGTGTTTGCGAACAAAACTCACCAACCACGAGGTCACGAAAAACCCCGATAAGCTCAAGTATGTCGTTGAATTGCGTCAGTGGAAGCCCACAGGGTGTCAAGAGAATACGGCGATGAATTTTTTTCTTGAATACGAATGTCGGGCAATGACTGCGAATGTGCGATGTGGAGTCGGGCTGCCCATCATAAAGTACATCCCAATATTTGACGAGTTGAACCACATTTTGGATGCCGTCGACCGCTTTCAGAAAGTCTATTTCGACATCCTTGACGTCCTCGTTGACCCAACAATCCTTCAGCGCGTACTCCCGACCAAACTTGTCTCGAACGCGATAACAGACGGTTCCGCGCTTGAAAAATCCGCGGCTTTTCCATAGAATCTCCATGATCCAATACACGTTCTGGTCGTTATCGTAAACCCAGCCTATCGCCCCGGGAAGCATGGTATCGAAGCCGTCCGGCAAATTGGTGTGACTTGGGACGGTGCTACAAGAGTTGCAGATGTGAATTGTTGGATCAAAGCCAAGGGAGGAACGATTTGCCAAAGTAGTGGTATTTAAGACGTCGACAAAACGTACGGGGAATCTATCAATCTGGAGTGGTTCTGATATCACCAAGCCAGAGCGATCTATATAATGGGCACGAAGTTTGAATTTGGAGATACTGAAAAGCAGGACAAAACGACGCCATGGTTGCTCCCGCATCATCAGATAACCCTTGGTAACGATGCCCAAGAACAAAGGAATTTTGCGATCGCTGGAAAGATCAGATTGGGTGATCTCGATTCCTGTGAGGACGTCCTTCCAGGACTTTTCGGAGGAGTCTAACTTTCGGAGCTTGTAGTCCAGGAGGACAAGACCAGACTTCCACGAATCGGTGGCGTCCGGAAAAGGACTGATAGCGAACTCTGAGGACCAGTACCGGAGATCTGGTAGTTCTCTGAAAGGTAGAGGGTGAAAGGGTCGCGAGTGACCACTATTGCGCTTTTGAATTTGCTCCTTGAGCATCTCGCGCATATAATAGTATATCGCCCGGAAAAGACGCTCCCAATTCTTTTCTTCCGGCTCCTCTGCAGACTTCAAGTTTGCTCTTTTCCTTCCAGCTTTGACGAAAACATGCTTTTCCAAGCTGCCTTTCGTCTCTGGCATGAAATCCTCTTCCACGTCGGTATCTATCTGCGACTCGATTTGAGTCTGCAACGGGGCACGCCGAACTGGCATCTTACGTTTCCTCTGACTCGGAAAGGGATCCTTCACGTTGAGCCTCCATTGTTTATCGAAAACGGGAGCCCCATATATTTGAGTGTTGCCCCCCGGTACTTTCTTGATGTGAGCGATTTTTTTGATTTCCGATTTTCCAAGATTGGATTGCGGGATGAGGATTTGAAGGATGGAGGTCGCAAGCTGGAGGTCCTCCTCCCACAGAACCGGGGGTCTTTGTCTTGCAGGCCCAACTCGCTCTTCATGAGCATGTCCATTTCGTCCTTAGTGCGACGTACGGGATGAATAGTAACGGTGCTGATAGGCCAGAAGATACTTAGATGGCGAAAGATGCTAACATGGGAGGGATGTGTTCCACTGTTTGTTGCCCGTTATTGACAAGACCAAGAGGTGGGGGAAATGACATCCACCGGGCGTAACTTCGGACCCCCATGACAGCGTTACAGTCACCGTAATCATTTAGCCATATATAGTGTTGCTGTCGAGGTGAGGTGACACCTGAGACGCAGCCAAATATGACTCTATAACATATCCTACTCAAATTCGGGGACAAATTATTAATATTTACAAGGCTATCTTCGCATTTAGGATCTAAGAACAGAGTCGCAAAATGTTCACCATTAGTTGTAATTTAAAATTCATGATCAAATGATGGATATGACTGGATGAAAAATATTTAATATGTGGGCGCAAGCTGATGTATTGTTAGATTCTTGGCCAGATAAAGGACATGTTACGTCTATGACTCACACTCATATTCAATAGTAAATCTTAAAAATGTTGCATAATCAAATATGTACAGTACACATCCTAATAATGCATAAATAAATAAAATACAAACAAATCACTAGAAAATCATTCTTGGGCGCAAAAAATTGTACATTAACAGCAATATATGGACCAAGCTCATTTCTATGAATGGATGACTTGGTGCGTCTCGAAAAGATTGGATCCTGATTTGTTATAATTTTTTATGCATTATGCATTATTAGGATGTGTACTGTACTATATTTTAACTCTGGTCTACATTTGACAAGAGAATAAATAATGACTATGTTAGGCGAGAAGCGTTAAGAAATATGCTGAGCATGCACACGAATATGTTGGGGTGCCTTATTTTGGCCGCAATTTTGGGACTGCGCTTAGATCATACCAGTGCACCGCTAGGGGGGCACTCAGTACCGTATTTCCCGGTTTGCTTAGACAGCGGAGCACTTATTGCAATTTAAATTATTGCATACATGAATTTATTTTTAATGTACTACGAATGTACTCAGTAAATAGTGAAGCAATTATAATAATAGTTGGAGAAAAGAAACAGACCGCTAACAAGGTTTCACTCCCTTTAGTAGTGAATGAAACCCAGTTTGATCTCCGATGGTATTATCCGTATAACCGGTCCGCAAGTGGCTGAGTGGCTGCCGGCAATGCCCGGGCTGAGGTTCATTCACTATATAAGCCTCTCAAGTCTGTTTCCTAAACTCTTTTCTTTCCCTCCATGTTACAAAGTCCAGTAGTACATAGTTAACGTAGTGGTACATCCAATGTAATAATGCATCATTGTATGACGTCCAATCCTCCTGGCATTGTGTCAGGATACACTTCCCCGAAATCTAGTACCTGTGATTTTACGCTCAGTGTATTCTGGAGTGACTGCAGTCCCTTTGCAACACAATTCATGATGCATCATGCTATTGTGGGAGGTATGATATATTCGTCTGTCGTCTGAATCTACTGATGTATCAGATGCACAGTTCACTATTAGGTCATTGTTCTGCCTTACTATTGCTGGCTCGCCCTCCTTGGACTTAGTGTGATGTGCGGTCTTTGGGCACGGCACCATGTTGTCAACATCGGCCCCCAGCATGGCGGCTCGGAGTGCTATGTTTATGTGCTCATGTAGCTCTTCGGTGTGTAGGTCATTTGCTTTAAAATGACGTAGCAAGTACTTATCCGCAGTTTTCTGCAGGCCACGGACAAGTCTCTCCCTTTTAGCAGAGTGATTCTCCCCGCTCTGAATGTGCGCCTGGCTTCCAGACGGGACAACAGCGAGGGGTCCGGTCTGACACTCACGTAAGTTGTGGATCCATCACTGGCAGTCGTGCTAACCTCGTCATCCGCCATAATGGTGTCCAGACATCCATATGTCCCACTAAAAGTGATGGGTTGGTCGAGCTCCATAGCTGAACCCATTCGTGTCTCCTGATATCTTTCAGTTAGCACGATGTATAGGTAATTGTTCGGCTCAACATTGTCACGACGCTCAAGCTCAAAGTCATAAGATCTCAAGGATAATTCGATGCCCAATTCAAGGTCTTCGATATCACGCGCCGCCAATGGCCTGATGGCGCGTGGTGATGCTCTGGCATATGGTTTGAACCGTGTGTTAAAGGTGTCATCGTTGTGAGAGGGTGATTTGAATCCCATGCTGTAGCAACTGACCCAACTTCGTTACTTGGAATTTCATTGTGCATTCTTGTAGTTTTGTAGATCATGCTCCTTCACCACAGCTTAATTGTATTCATTGTACTTATTGTCATTGAGCTTTACGCAATTGTTTTCAATCTCGCCATATTTCAAATACATGGTGATGCCTTGGCTGTCTCCATGGCAAGTCCAAACAATTGTTTCGACCTGTTGTTGAACATTAGATTAATGGTGTATTCGAATATACTTATATGCCGATAATCACTCTGACAATAATCAGATCCCTCGACTATGGAGGTATGTATCGAATTCTATCAGGGTGCTATGCTCGTTGACACCACCTAGTTTGCCAACAATTTCACGCTGAATCGTCACACTAAGGCGGTCAATGTATTGGCTGTCAGCAAGCATGGATCATTGCTCCTTACTGGAGGTAACTCGTTATTTTCATTACTATACTTGTGCTGAAATTGTGTACAGGTAATGATGGATGTGTTGTTGTTTGGAGTCTCACATCGGGTGAAATGATCCAGGAAATACATTCACCAGCGGCAGGATATATTAGTGCCATTATCTGGGCGGACATCGATGATCGCGGAGAAACTATGTTCGCATTTGGAGCATCCAATGGCAACATCCAAATGTATGAATATGATGTAAGTGCATAATATGCTTATTGAGTTTGGCTCACACTCATGGTCATTACGCTAGGCACTTTTTGAATTCCGGAGTGCTACCATTGGCCATTTGGGTGCGATTGAGTCTCTTGCATGGGATCCCAATTATTGCAGACTTGCGAGTGCTGGCGACGGTCACCCGCAAGTTTGGAACCTCAGACCAGACAGTGCGTAGCCATTGTAGCGTTGTGTGTCTACTAATACATTTTATCTATAAGAGACATTCACACCAATGGTCTCTCAGCCCGAGAAGCAGGTATATGTTGCGTGCACCATCCACTTTTATGACAAGGGTGCTTCATTATTGGTGTCATACCTGGAAAGTGGTGATGTGTTAGTCGACGTTCCTCAGATTCTGATTGTTGCATCTGATGCGTTCTCAGATTTTGTTATTCGATAGAGCCTTGGGATCTCAAATGGCACAAAAAGTCTCAAGCAGAATGTACATCAGCTTTGATTTAACACTGTTAGACTTTTTATTAACTGGCGCATTTCAGCGGCAATGCTGCTCTTGATGGCAATTACTTGCTCGTGAGCAACCTCAAAGACGGGGTTGACAAATATGCCATTCCCAACCTCACACATGTGCAGTCCTTCAACCATGTGATTTTGCGCAATATTCCTTTGCAAATCTCTGTTGCTCGACAGTCGGGCTTACTGTTCGTGGGCGGTGATGATGGGTTTGCTCAAATTTTTGATTACACCACAGGTGCATACCGTGGACAGTTGGATCATGGTAGTCGTGGCGATTGCATCACACCTGTAGTGGTAAGTGACATGTTGCCCAGCGGCTGATGACATAAGACTAACATTAGTTAGTCTCACGAAGGACACTCAAAGTGTCTTGTTATCACTGGCACCTGCCTTAATGGGCATAGTAGCATGAAAGTATGGGGGGAGAGTGATGTGGTAAGCGAGCTCTGTTCAGTGTTGGTGATTTCTGATTCGGATTAGATGCCAGAGGAGCATGTAACATCTCTTTCATCCCCATCCCCATCAACCGCAGTTCAACTAGTTCGGTTTGCTATAATCTGCGTGCTTGTGAATGCCCTTATGCATGCTCTGCAATCAGGCGCCTTTTCGACACTTTATGTGTTACTTTGACATGCCCGCATCCCATTTGTTGAATACTAGGGGTTGGTTGCATCAAAAAAACTGGTTCCCTCCGCGATTTGGTGCCAACCCTTTCAATGCTTAGTACTACAGCTGTTTTTCCATGTAACTACCTACTTGTACCGCCTAAAGTCTTGTACTTCGATGTTTCAAGTTTGCTTAGTCACACAATACCACTACCATATTTGGTCGATTGTGGACCGGGCAGTGGGTCTTCCCAAATTGGGATTCACTACAAATAGACGCGATGCTTGTATCATGGTTTCCTTTCCTACTTTCATCATCTGAGCGCCTATACTAGATTAAACAGTAGTCTCTGTGCAGGTGTCTTGTGCTGGATTTTGTGGTGCCTGCTAACATCTACTTTGTAGAGTTTCGTCATCCATTTAGCTCTCGAGCACCTCAATGTGCAAAGGTCTTGAAAAGCTCAGTTGACTCCCAAATTGAAAGTAGTTTTTTCGGAGGTGAATACTATTGCTTCTTGTCTCGAGTTGCTTTACTTACTTCACCAGGCGAAGAGCCGCTGAAGGTGAGGAATCTTGACTGTGGGTGAAAACACTTAAAGAAGGGGGCTCTACAGCAAGACCTGGATATGAGAATACAACTCGACCCAAAGGATAGCTACTGAGAGAAGTTCCTTGCGAATAAGGTGGAGGGAAACTCTGTCAACTAGATGGGCGCTGGTAGGCGCGAGAAGATAATGTGCACGAAGGCGCGCGAGATGTGAGGGGCGCGCGCGTATGCGGAAGCGCACTTATGAGTGATAAGGGATGTGGTTTCAAGTATAGTAGAGGTGCGAGCTGTAGCAGATGGAGAAGTATAATCTGATTTCAAGTACTAAGGTGCACTATACAACTTGCAGTATACTGAGATAAATGGGGGGAAAAAGTAGTACCCGAAGTAAAAAGAACTTCCCTCTATTTAAGAAGGGAGATAGCGCTATGCGGCGCTTCCGAGCGTGGTACCGAACCAAGTAACCATATCAACTCTAAATATAATCTAAAGTCTAAGATAGACTTTCTGTATGTAAGCGCGGGGATCGGACCGAGTGCACATCAATTCAGTGAAAGAGATAAGAATAACACACCAGTAAATCAGTGAGGACATAGGACGGACGGGTAGGCGCGAGAAGACCTAAGGGGAGGCGCATGGACGCGCGCGGAAGCGCACGAGTGCATATAAGGCATGCGAATGAGGTGCGTACGTAGGGTGCGCGTGCGGGAGCGCGTATGACTGATCCTTCGGATAAGAGCTGGAATATGTAAGGAATATGTGGTTCATAGGGCCGTATATCCGGCATTGAGAGGCGCGAGTCTCTACACTGCCATCCTGTCCTCAACGACTATAAAGATGATTGGGTAGTGTCGGATTTCTTGTGGGTCTATCTTAAAAATAGTAGTACTCGCGTGAATTAGCTACCAGAGAATGTAATAAAATATCTGTTGATGGCAAACCAAATCTCCCTTTCTGTTGAACTTTCGAATAATCTTGCGCCTATGGGAAACAGAGTGCACTTCTTGCATTAGTCGTTCAATGGCAGGACCGAAAACATGTTGGAGTATAGCATTCAACGCAGTAAGAAGTATGGAACAACAAGACGAAGGAAAAGGACAACACACTGAAAACACCAGGGAAATCATTAAAGTTTGAGGGTAGGGATGTATAAGTGGAACACTTTCGAAGAAAGGGAGGTAGCGGATCAAAACAAGTGGCACTAAGTTCAAATGTTCAATCACAGACTCGTCCGATTTTTTTTAATGCATGATATCAAGTATTGTTTGTAGTAATGTAATCACAGCAGATAATGGTCACGTATGTCAATCAACGAAACAAAATTGATTTGTGATACAGAGGACATAAGCGGATATTCGAAAAGTATGGGTAGGCTTCTACATGAAATTACCGAGCCACTGAGCCGAGCCAAGCACCCATATGGCTAGATTTCCTTGAACCTACGTTTCTTGCTGGATGTTGAGAGTTCCGGCCATGAATAACATTGTGACTTCGTGAAGCAGTGCCATTGTACGTGGTACTTCACGTAGGAAGCAATATCTTGTGATACAGGAAGATCCTGAGGCCAGCCGTCCAATCCAAGGTGAAAATCATAAACTGCCAGTATCTTGTCGTGCGACTTCAAGATCTCCATGTGCTCTTTCATCTTGTGAACAGGATTTGTCTTCATGATGTTTGTGAGGAGAGTCATTTCATTGGCGTCTGGATTTAGACGTTCCATCCACTTGGTCATCTGATCATAGACATCCTGCTGCTCCTGAGTGACAAGAGTATACCGAAGCGCAAAGAGCTCTGCAAGAGCGACAATAAGCCTGTCTAGCGGTTTGCGATTGACAAATACATCTTTCGAAAAATGCATTCTTGAGGTGAGAAAACCTGATTTGGTAGATGATCCAACTCCCTCCAATTCATCAACTTCGAAGACATCCTTCACGAGCAATGTTCGAGCGGGGACGGTTAAGTGAGTCATTGTGTACATCAAGGCAATCCATAGAATGACATAGAGACTGGACTCTATGTCATCCTCAACATCATGTTTGGCGTCTTTATGTTGGATGAGGTGAGCCGACATGAATTGCCATGTTCCCTTAGTGACAGAAAATTTAGTACAACTAACCAACTTAGGCACGGAATGAACGAACCGTACGATTTACTTGTTGAGCACCTTGAATGGTGATTAATTTTGAGAGGTCCCAGTCAATAAGGATGCCCTTGCCCTTGTAGATGACGATGTTGCCAGCACTAAGGTCTCGATGCAACACACCCGCTTTATGATATGCTTCCTTATGGGCTGTAGCAATATGAATATAATAATGCCTTTGGAGAAGATGGAAACAAAATATGTACCGATTAATGTGTCATGAACGATTGAGACAAGCTGATGAGAGCTTGTGAACTTATGAGACTCTTTGCCCACAATATTCAGAACCAAGCAATAATGGACATGTGGAGTGATCGTGGTGTGTGAACACGCCCAGGAGCATGCGCCAACCTGTGAGTCTGCGGAGCTTGTTGGGGAAGAGAGGGTACATCGTGACACGCAATGCACGACACAACATTGGAAACCTTGTGTTTTGCTAATAATTTGTATGTCTCGCCTTCTGGTAAGATGTCGGGGTTGGCAACCCGCCAAGAGTCTTTGAACATAACAACATTTTTGTTGTTAATGTTATACGCAGGACACGTGCATGTACACCGGCCTATAGGAGTTCGACCAACAGGTTGAGGTGCAGGAAAAATCAAAGTAATCGGGTCAGAGTTATCGACAGCAGGCACAGTCACTTTCAACATGCGCCAGGAAGCAGGAAGGTCCAACTTCAATCTTGCAAGGCTAGCTTCTTCTACACTAGCGAGCGTCACTGAAGTGTCGACACCACGGACTGCAGGTGATGCCTGTGCGTAATGATGGAAAAATTCTGCTAAATGTGGTTCTTTATTGTAATAAATAGCGGAAGAAACGGTAACTCCCTCCCTGTCCCATCTTAAGATGTAAGCTTGTTCACAGACGATCAGGACAGAGAATGCGTGAGTCCGATATTGTGCGCCAAGTTGAGCTGCAGCATAGCTCGTTATTTGTCCCAGCGTGTCCATGGCCTTGTCGGTCTCAGATATAAAGCGCGATGAGCCATGTGCCGGTGTGTAGAACAGATTGTGATGTGGTTCACACTTGAATTCAACGACCACTTCTGTGGTGGATATATCACAGGAGGATTGTCTGTCGTGGGGTATCCCATCGGCATAAACACAGATGTCCGGTTTGATTTGAAAGGAAAATGCTTTGCAGTTTATCTTGTCTGCATTGCTGTGGGTGTCAATAAACGATAGACCGGGAGCAAAAGATTCCATAGTGTTGATCTGCACTCGTAGTCAGGCTGATAACAATCTTCTCATGGTTGAAGCACTTACAAATGGATTATAAGCTTCGGTCTCCAGGGCAGCAGAAACCGTGCTGGCGAAGGCGCCCTCTGAGAAGGATGTTAAAGGTTGATAATCTGGGATCATTGTAGGCGACAGGAATTCTTCGAGAAATTCTTCGGCTGGCATCGGACCAACGAGATATCCTCTTATCTCATTGCCCATAGTGTTGAGAGTGGTATTTCGGCAGCGTGTATTGGTCGTGAAGGGTTGCATCGTAGCGCAAGTACATTTGATGGGAGTGTCGTTTGGTGGTGCCAGTATCTGTGGCAGCAGCTCGGGCGTCTTCTGTTCTGCAGGGGGGGTGCCGTTGGCCTCGTCAGACACTTGTACAGTGGGCATAGGGAACATGATAGTTCAATGAATGGATATTATTGTACAAATGCAGGGTATGACGAAATGGGTATATGTAGATGATGCAATGATTAATGCGAGAAAAAAAAACCACTAACAACATCTAGAGGCTTATATAGTGAATGGAACTCAGCCGGACATTGCCGTAATCTACTCTCCAGTATTCAACCACTATTAATAGTAGATTCATTTTCAGTGATATAAATACAACAGAGACCAAAATGACATACATTGTAGTTTATGGTTGTTTCTGAGAACGATAGTGCTCCAATGCTGGGATAATCAATGACTTGCGAGTCTCCAGGAGAGCGTGGGCACTACTCAAATTAGCTTTATACCAGTGGTCGTTATACCAGTTGTGTGGAAGCCGTTGAATCGCAATGGAATTTTGAGCTGCACGTTTCTGCTCCAAGATACGCAGAAGGGATGAGTTTTCAATCGGAATGGTCATATTTTCTTCATGGGTTGCTGGAGCATATGTTTCCACAGCATGTAGTAACTGAGTGATGTTGGGATTGAGCCATGGAAGGCCTACTCGCCGTACTACCTTTGGTATCGCCCCGATTGGTGTGTCCGTTTCATCCCCGCTAACTCCATCAACGTCTAAGTGATTGATAATGCGCCCGATTGTGTCCCAAGTGTCAGGGTTACGGTGTCGATTTTGTGACACTATTTTTCTACGTCTCTCAAGAGTCTAAAAGGGCATTCAGATGATACAAGGATAGAACACTGTCCACCTACCCCATGTTTTCGGGTATTGCACCTATCTAAGCATTGTCTTTGTTCATTGCGTCCTAACAATGCACGAGACACAGAATTCATCTCCTCCAAATTGGAATATTTGCCAATCTGCATACGTTGCCGACACTCAAATTGAGTTCGGCATAGCTTGTCGATACACAATGAGTGCAAATTGTCAAGACTCATGGCCTCTGTATGGAAAAGAACTTGCACATAGGTGCTGTTCTTGATCTTTAATTGAAAGTCTACAACTAGGATGTTGATTACTTCTGTATTCCATGAAAACTTCTTCAATGAGTCGCTCCAGTCGATGGAGAGGTCGTCTAGGGTGGGACAACAGTCGTGATTGTGGTTGAAGGGTTGAATGGTTTCGATTGGAGGAGATTGAGGTAGCGAGCCATTTTTACCCTTGAGTACCCTTTTCTCTCGTAGATAGCTGCGGAATGCAACCTACAATAATTAGTTGCCATGATTAAATAGGAATGTTAGCATACATACATGCAAATGATTCTTTGAGCCTCTCTTGCTGGGGCGCTTCCACCGGGGATGAGGTGCCAAACCATCATCGCTGTCACTTGCTTGGGTATCTGATGAAGAATCCTCCTTACGAGTGTGAGGCTGGTGGCGAATGGAGATGTTTCTCATATCGTCTGATAGATGTTCGACCATAGAAGGAATCATAGCGTCAATAGCATCCTTCAAAGCCGGCGTCAACATGTTGTGAGACAGTTTGAGAAAGCGCTGTGTGACAAGCTGGTCAAGATGAGTTTCAATGGTGGAGGGCATTATAAAAGGTCTCTCTAGTGAAGGAGTTTGGAGTGGGAGATCTGTGGATTTGGAATTAACGATGGGACTCATGTCCATCGTGAGGGCGAGACTGGTGGCTCAAGGCTGGATTGAAAGCATGTCATGGTCAATTTCCATTTGGAGAGGAAGGTCATAGTCCATCAAAACATCATGTTCCCCACCACTAGATGGAGGCATGGACAACAACCGCTGACACCCAGCGCCTGTGATGAAATGTTAGCGTGAAACGTAGCTGGACATGCACTGAATTGACACTGACCAGCATATAGAGTACTGGCACGACCTGACATATCGGGACTTCTTGAACAACTGCTGGCTCTGCGGTATGGCGCTTCATCTGCCCGATTCAACACTCGACGACTCCTACAATCTACACTCGATCCACCATAAGGAGTATCTGGCCGACTAACTGGTGCCTGACTCACAGCCACAACAGAAGTAAGGGATGGAGAGTGAGACCGTGGAGTGCAAGACTGTGACACTGGATGCATGGATTGAGGCTCTGTGTTGATATGCACAGAGGGGTGAGTTGTGGGTAATGCATTCACCGCACAAGGTGTATCGATAGGCATGGAAGGGTGGGTCATAAGTATTGCATTCATGGCACGAGGACAGAATGGGACGTAAGGCAAGTACATTGGTGTGGCATGATGTTTGCCAATGTGTTCTCGATGTTCTGGCAAGAGGGGACCTTGAGCCGATGACGAGCCGCGTGTCGTGAAACTGCAAGGGAAAAATGTTAGAAGAACGAGAAGCATGACCGAAATGAGAGTTCTCAC